CTTGTTTTGAAACTCACTGAGGAGGAACACCAATTGGAACTTATAGTTACTATTACTTCCTGAGTAACTAAAAGGACTTAGAGTTGTGAAATAAAAATAAAAATAAAAGGAATCAAACAAAAGAAAGTGGCAAACCAAGAAACAAGAAAAAGCAAAAGATGGGGACTTAATAATTGTATTTTCTGTTTTGGCATATCTATGTGAATGGTATTGGATTAAAATTCATGTCACAAGCTCTATTTATTTTGTTTGTGCACGTGTGATCGATTGCCTTTGTGACTAGAGCCTCTTCATGTTGATCTCGCTGTATCCGAGTTCAAAGCCTCTTCCGTTTTCCTGTAGTTTTAGATCGAAAGGCAAATTCAAATTAAATTACCAAAATTCAAATGAAATAGGTGGGAAAATACCCAATTGGTCGACTCTCATCCAACAATACTATTATTAAGAAAACACTCTTTTGTGGATCGAAGTATGTAAATAGACATTTTACCCTTTTCTTAACAAGTTTTATAATATATAAGCGTGTTGATAATCTTATCTCATTGTCCTATTTTCTCAATCACATTTTAGTAAAAATCTTAAAAAGTATTAATAACATGTTTATAATTTTATAGAAAAAGACTATTAAACCCCTACCCCATTTCTCTCCCACTCTCTTTGCGGCCCCATTTCTTGCTCCCCCGTTTTTCTCTATCTTTCATTTCATTTCTCTTCTCGGCTTCTGCACCGACCACCACGGCCGGAAGCACGGAGTATCAGGGGGTGCACGACAGAGTTGTGGTGATGGAGGAAGAGCAAGAGGAATGGTCCTCTCCTCTCGGCCACGTCATGTCTCTTCTCATTTGGAGCTTAAATTTCAATTTCCATTGATTTTGAATGGTGTCGTGGAGATTGAAAGCATCATCACAGCGGTAATCAACTTTTTAGTTTCTTTCTTTTGACCTTGAATTTCATTGGTCGATAGTTGCTACAAGTGCAACGATTTGTTGCAGTAATATAGAATCTAGAGATTCAGAGCTTGTGGAACAAGATTGAGAAAGGAATTTGATAAGAACAACTGCAAGGTTGTTAACTTTGTATTTTAGGTAGGATTCCTAATTGATATCAATTCCGTGTAATCTCCTATAATCTCGTGTAATTAATTTTTTTCCCATTACATTAGGGTTGTACACCTTGTATAAATACCTCTCATTGAGAAGAATAAAATCATCACTCAAAGCATTCTCTTCTAAGGTTACTTGTCTTCTTTTCTGCGGTCCACATTTTCGTGCTCTCAAACTTGCATTAGACAATTTTTGAAAGACTACCCCTTTCTTTTCTGCAAGGTTAGTTTCCTTCATTTTCCTGCTGCATTAATTTTTTCTTCTACTTGGACCTCCATCGATCGATTTTCTCGATGCAAGTGTGTATCTATCAGTTGTTAAAGAATCATGGAATGCTTTACGTCTGCTGATACTGATTTTTCTATGGGCGTTGTTGAGTTGAAGGTAATCTTAGTCTATTAAAATTCCTGATTTTCACAAGTTTAATTAAGGTATTCGATTCTGGGAAGTAACGCATTTTGCTGCTAAAGGAACTTTCGGAGAGACTACGGATGGAAACAGAACAAGGATAAAGGGAAATTTTGTTGAGATTCATTTATCATTTTTTTACATTCAACTTATCATTTTTTATCTTGATGTTCCGAAAGTGCCCAACAAATCTATTTTTACACCCATAATGAAAAAGAACAAAAAAATAAAAAATAAAAAGACAGCACTAAGAAATTCAGACCACCCCATCTCTCCAAACCCCAACCGCTCCCAATTTCTACCCGTCCCTAACCCCCCATTGCCAACTCTCCTACCACCCACAACAAAAACACCAAAGATCTCAGGCATCACTCACTCTAACTTGTCATTCAAGGACTGGACAATTAGACAAAAGGTATTCGAGAACTTCATTACTCACTCTAATTTGTCGCAAATGAAAAACTTTGAGGGACTTGAAACAGGGAGTGTGTCTACAAGAGTGTAGACTTGGATTGTCAAAACTCATTAAGTTCTCCCATGCATAATGCAAGAACTGCTCCAATATAGACCCTTTATTTCATTATTTGCACTGGTACTAATACATAATAGCTTGCGGGCAAATGCATATCATTGGAAGCTAGCAAAACCGTTAGCGAAAAACTCCAAACTCAATTGTTTGAACTCTTTTTTCTAATGCAAACTAAATCCAACTATCAATGGAACTTACATTGCAAAAACCGAGAAAGAAGCAAGCCTTGAGTCGTTATACGTTCGGGTCTTTATGTTGCGCCAACACTTGATTCACCCATATGGCGTATCTAAAGCTTAGCTGGGATCAAAGTTGAGAGTTATGGTAAACCCCTAGAGATATCACCATCACATAGAAATACTTGTAGCTGCTGCATGCTTGAGCAGCAAGAGAGAATGTACTAACAAGAAAGATTGGAAGGGGATAGTGACGGTTGAGATATTTGGGGTTTTCATTGTGGGTGGTAGGAATGTGGCGGTGGGGGTTGGGGAGGGGTAGAAATTGAGAGTGGTTGGAAGTTGGAGAATGGGGTGGCAGGAGTTTCTTAGTGCTTATTTTAATTTTTTATTCTTTTTCATTTTGAGTGTAAAGAGAGAATTATTGGGCACATTTGGAATCACAAGATAAAAAATAATAAGTTTGGTGTAGAAAGAGAATAAATGAGTCTAAATAAAATTTCCCAAGAGGATAATAATGGTGTGGTGATGTGATGAAGGTTATTTTAGGAATAATAGTGGGTGGAAAAATAGGAATTTTTTTTTTAATTTTTTTTTATAGTGAGTGAGATTATAATGGGGTGGGGAAATAGGACAATGGGGTTGGTCTTCTAGTAGCACTAATAAGTTAAATGCATATAAATTTAAAAACAAGGGTAAATTACATTGGGGAAATAGGATAGTGGGGAAATAGGTGACTGGAAAACTATGGGCTCCGATTATAAAAAGTACTCTATTCATCATCACTTAACCAATTTGTGGTGCTAGGATGATATTCTCTTATCATGCTAGGACCATCTCCTCTTGCTCTCACTTCTCTTGCACGCCTTCTACGCACCACATCCTCTTTCTCCGACTTCCAAAAATATTTAGAATTTGGAGACTTCCCTTCTAAAGACGTGTTCATAATCTCACGATCTTGTTGAGCCATTCTTTCTTCTCTAACCAGCTCCCTTTCTTGCCTAAGTAACTCTCTTTCTCTCTCATTAACTTGAAATTCTCTCTCAACAGCTGCAGCTTTTGCCTCATCTCTAGCCTTATCAGCCTCAAATTTCGCCATTTCCTGCGCCAAAGTCAATTCATTATGGCGAGTAAGTTCTTCCATGTACTTTGCATAATCATGCTTGGAAGCACTTCCTTTTCTCTTTGAAGCCTTCTTACCTTGAGGCCTAATTGGATAACGGGTCGAACTAGACGCTTGTTCAGGGATGGGCGTTTCAGGCACTTCTTTTGCATCATCTTCATGCGAGCCATTATCAGGTGTAGAGTGTAGAGGGGTGCTGTTCATGACAACTTCTGGACCGACAGGCACAACTCTGAATTTAGGACAATCTTTGACAATATTCCAACATTCCCACCGGTTCAATGATTTATTTTTGGTTTTGGTTTTGGCACCATACCAAGCTTGTGCTTGAATTGGCTACACAATGGGGGAGAAGAAATAATTATAATCAAAGTAGGTAACAAATAAATAATACAAACAAAAAATTATAATCAAAGTAGGTAACAAATAAATAATACAAACAAATCATTATAATTAAAGTAGGTAACAAATAAATAATACAAACAAATAATTACAATGTAAATTTGGGTGTACAAACAAATAAATAATATATTGTTACCTGATCCGTGTAATTTTCCCCACTTCGAAGATTACTACTAGCTTGTGCCAATGCGTCTCTCCAAATAGTAAATGATTGGCTAAGTAATTTCCAACGACTAGACATCGATTTTTTGGTTCTACTCCCACACATTTTCTCAAGATAATTGGTATGAATAAGACTCCACATTTCTCACAATTGCATCTCATTACCCGTATGCGAACTATGAGTAACTTCAACCCAGCTAGTACACAATGCAACATCTTCAAAAGACGTCCAATTCGTACCTGCATCAGTAGTCATTTTGTTGAAAAAAATTGGATTGAAACTTTGAGAGAAAGATAGGAATGTAATTAAAAGTAGTTGAGAACATATGAAATTGTGGTGTAAGGTAGATGATAATGATAAGGTATTTATAGAAAAGTAGAAACATTTTTATTTTAAATTTTCAGAATTTTTTTCCGGATTTTTTACAATTTTAAAATTTTTTTTATTCAAATAATTAATCTCTGCCGTTGGATTTAAAAAAAAATTAAATTCCAACACTCCAGATTGTGTCACGTGTCACAACGATAACTTTTCTTAATTTTAAAACTATTTTTTTATTTTTTTATTTTATAAAGAAGATTAATATCAACTGTTGATCTCAGATCGAACGATTGATATTAAATAAGTTTATTTATTTATTTATTACCATTTCAAATCGGACGGCTCATATTAAAGAGCCGTTGAGATCGAACGGACCGTGGGAAGCCTGGCTTCCCAACGGTCACCTGCTAAAACTGGCATGCGGGCCCCATGCCCTGTAAAGCTGTCGACTGACGCGCCCCTACTCGTGAGTGAGGGGCACGCGCCTGACACAAAAAAAAATAAAAAAAGGATCGATGCCAGGCCTGGCGTCAGCCTGACGTCACACCCACCTTGGGCTGCAGGGCTGGCAATCCTCCACGGGCCTGGCCATCAGGCTCCCACCTTCACTCGGGCTGCCCAACGCTGGAGCCCTATCCACCGGCCCTCGGGCCCTTTCCCTTCGCCTGTCCCCCGAGCAACCACCAAGGGTGGAGTTGCTCTAATATATTAAACAAGAAGGGTATTATAGTCAAATCGTTGAAAGTTTAAATGTCCCCAAAACTATTCACAAAAATAAACATTGTCGCCAAACATCTCTCTCTGTGACAAACACAAAACCATGAAACGTCGATTCGAAGGCGGACCAGGAGAATCCGCGGATGGGGAGAATCCAATTCCGGCTCAACCCACAAAGCTCCGAGGTGAGATTCGGACTCCTAGTATTGGTATGCTTTTCAATTTTAGGTTTTAGGGTTTGTGAGGGGACGGGACGATTATCTGTTTCAATTTTTGTTTTTAGGGGAAGACTAGCAGCAGCATTATGATTAATTAGGGTTTCATGCATTTCAATTCCGGCTGCATATGTTTGTTGCAATCTGCACGTGTTTTAAGGTTCCGGTGCTTGACTTGATGCCTAATTTTTTTCAGTGTTTAATTATTAATAGCTAGAGATTTAATTTACAATGAATTAAGTATCGCAACTTGGATTGGTTTTCCCAGTTACGTAGTAGAATTTTAAACCGAATTGTGTAGCTAAGCTAGATACTCATTTCTCAATCAATTAAGTATCGCACTGTCTTCTTGAGGACTGCTTTTGCTGCTTCAAATGTCAGAAACACGAAATTCTTTTAACTCCTGTCAACAAAATTAAAGCAGAACTTATAGAACTTGGGAAGATAATACTTACACAGTTAAAGCAGAACTTACAGAGCTTTTAGAACTTTAAGAACTATTGGGAGGAAAGTCTGAGACATACCTGTAGGTATTACCCACCCACATAGGGATTGCAATTCGTTTAGTTTCATCTTCCCTCGCGAACTTCTCGTTTCTTTTATGATGTTGTGTTTGAGAATAGTATGAATGGGGAGAGTAGCAGTTTTTCAGTTCTCCATTGAAAATGTGTTTCATATTTCTGAGAGTGGGAATTGTAAATTAACTTCTTAAAAATGCTATTAATTGTGAAGAGTCAAATTTGTTTACTTTCATGTATTAGGTATCTTACCAGTTATTAGGTATTGGTATGGTGTTTGTTCTCTTTCTAATATTAAAGTGGTCTCAAGTTACGAATGTCCTCACTCTCATAATTTGTTGAAACATATTTAGTTAATTTGTTTCTTTGTTATGCCCCACATGAGCTAAATCTTTGGTTGGCCCCTAATTAATGTATCTGCACATTACTTTAGTCTAAAGAAGGCTTTTCAATTGCACTGTACCAATGAACAGTGTTTGGAGCCGAATTTCACTTTATTTACAAAATTGCCACCGCCAGTTCACTGCTGTTCAGATTGGAATTTCTATTTATTTACGAAATTGCCATCGCACAGTTTAAGAGCACCCACGCTTCAATCATCGTGCAATACTTTTCCGTCCGTTCCATCCCCTCTTTCATTCCCTCTTTTTCTCTCCCGACTCTCTCTGTAAACATCCATCAAAGCCCCCCATCCCTCTCTTTTCTCACTCTGTAATTTCCCTCATATCCCTCTCCGATTATCTCTCTCGCCATTGTCAGTCTCGCCAGCCGCGAACTCCTTGACAGCTCGGCATTCTCACTCTGTATGTTCGGCTAAGAGAACTCATTCAACCGCAGAAACGAGGTGTGAAGGTGCGGACCTTACCAATTCTGCGCTTTCTTTTCCAATCAATATCTGAAAATTGACAATTTTTTAAATTTTGTTTTATCAGAAACGATCGGAGGAAGTGGGAAATGGTGAGCGCAGTGGACCCAATTTCATGGCAGGTTGGTTTAAAGCAGTTCCAAAATTTGGGATCGTTTCGTATATTTTTAGGTATTTCTGATTCTTTAAAAACCATGTTTAAGAGTAAATTCATTATATTTTAATTTTTATTGAATTCAGGTAACCATCTTCAATTTTTCGGTTTGATTTAAAGGAATTTTTTAGGCAGAAAAGCTAGGGCTTTCCGGTGAGTTCTTCGGGTTGTGCATCCGGGTGGCTTTAATTTGTTTAAATTTGGGGCTTTTGTGATTTGGGACTTATAAATGGTTTGAAATTTACGTTTTTCTAATTTCAGTTCCCACTCAGAAGTTTGTACTGCCTCATCATTAGAACTGTTTCCTTCTGCTCTTCTTCTCGAAACAAGGTCGCAGATCCACAGGCCATCAAGGTATGTCATTTAATTTTATATTGTATATGTATGTATTGTATTATGCATGTGTGTGAATGTGTTTTTCTCTGTTAATCTGTATTGGTTTTCTTCTGATTTAGTTAATGGACTTTGTTTTTATTTCAGATAATTTGGTTCATGCTAAAGTTATTGAACGTACGATGGAACCAGTGATCTTTCAAAAAGGTTGGTTCTTCTATATTTTTATCCTTTTGGTCGTTTTGAATGGACTTCCTGTATTCTGAATGAAGCTAAATTGAATAGCTGTTTTTCGTATACTGTATTTTCTTTTGTTAAATTAGTTCTTTTTTTTTGTTGAAAAATGTTATTTGGTTTTGCAGATCAAAGTTTTTCAGCAAGAAAATTATCTGTCAAATTAAATTTATTGTTATAATTCTACATGTTCTTGGTTTGCATTTATTTTACTTGATTGTGTTAGTGGTTGCTTTTGTTTTCACCCAGCTACCAAAACTTTGCCTACACTGTCCATCTCTGTTCTCCGCTGTCCGTTACTGTAAGTCCTTTTTCTTTTTCCAGATTTTTCAATCCTTTTATGTTTCATTTTCTGAAATCTTCATGTTTCTGTGCATATATATATATATATATATATATGTATGTGTAAATATTGTTAGATATGGGACTGTAAGCAGTAGTGGATTAGTGTCAAATTGCACTTAATTAGTGGTTGGGGTGTAAGTAATGTGCTTATGCGTACCTGTTTCTTAGTTTTAATTTAAGTTTTCTGCATTTAAAGAGTGGTTAAAGAAATTTTTTATTTAATTGATTTTCTGCTATAATGCTTTGAATTCCTTAGTTATATAGTTCTACATGTTCTTGGTTTGCATTTATTTTACTTGATTGTATTAGTGGTTGCTTTTGTTTTCACCCAGCTACGAAAACTTTTCCTACACTGTCCTACACTGTCCATCTCTGTTCTCCGCCACAGTGTAGGAAAAGTTGATTGTATTAGTGGTTTGCATTTATTTTACTTGATTGTATTAGTTGGCACTTGATTGGGTTTTAGACTGAGAGCGTAATCTGGTACAATAGAGCTGATACTAACATCTGGTTCTGTCTAGACTCTAAATCACATCTTTATTCGTCACATTTGAAACTTTGAATTCTTGAGTTTATATAAATTTTAATTCTCATTAGTTAATGCTTAACATTTGGCCTTTTGTTTAAATAAAATCATTCCAATTTTTTGGTGTGTTTTTAGGTGGGATTTGGGATATGGTATACGTTTGGCCTATGTGAGTGATCCCTGCTACAGGAATGGACCTCTGTTAAATTTGATTTTCCTAAGCATTTTCTTTTGTTTAATGTCAAAACTATATATAAGCAAGTGTTTATATTAGGAGGTTGTATGTTGACTAAGCTTTAAAGTTAGAAGGTGGAGGTGTCCTTAAGGTTTAATACAATAGATAAGTGGGTTATATTTCTCAACTTTTAAATTTCTCAACTTTTAAATTGAATGTACCGCTGATGTGGGTTTTCGACCTTCTATTGGATTTACCACTGGCTAAAAATTCTAAAGAAATGCATGAACTTGGTGGTTCTAATGATGTGTTCTGCTGTTAGGGTTGGGTATTGGCAATGTGGGTCAGATCCCATTTTCTGTGACTCTGCAGGTTTCCGCCTTCAGGATTTGTGAAACAGGAAAAACGAATTTTGGGTGTCTGAGTCCAGGGCCATAAAAACCGAATCTTTCAACAGATTTATAGACCTTTGCAGAGTTATGATTAACAGAGACTTCGTGGTGCAGTTTTTGAGTCTGGTTTTGGCTAAATGTGAACAGTGTAATACATTGTTAAGGAGATACCTTGAATTTTCCCTTATCTGGACAGTACTGAAAACAGTAATGTGAAACCATCTTAGTTTACGTTCCATTGTTGGAGGAAACTCTATACGACCTTTGATTTGCCAAATAATCTGCATGCTGTGTATATGCTTTATAGTGCATATAAGCATATCAATAATTCTTGGGGATGGAAGGAGGGTTGTGTGGGTATGCTAGGATGATAGCATACTTTATAAGAGTGTTAGCTTCAAAACTGAGTTGCTATGGTGCTTCTTGGATTTCAGAACATTGGCTATGCTCTATGGTACACCAGCCTATACAATGTTATATGGAATAGGACCAAAATATTTACTTTTTGAAAGCGCTAATGAGCAAGAAAACGGAAATCTGTTATTGAAATGCAAGCATGTTCAATTTAATGTTTGTTAAAAGACCTTTTTTTTTATTATGGTTTCTTCGGAGTTTCTTTTTCATTCAATGATGTAAATAATTTTCATCTTAATTTGTTTGTTTAATATAGGTAAAGGTGCTGTGCGAGAAGGCCAAGGAAATATTAATGGAAGAAAGCAATGTCCAGGTGGGCATTTTTAGTTGCAAGTTTTTGTTTCATGTCTTTCTTTGTATTGTTTCATACAGGTTTTGGACCTATAAAGATTTGGGCATGTCATGAGGTAAATGAATAACCATTTTGGGTTTTATGTGTTGCAGCCTGTAAAAAGCCCTTTAACTAACTGTGGTGATATTCATGGACAATTCCATGATCTGGCGGAGCTTTTCCGCATTGGAGGAAAGGCATTGTTCTGATTTGGGCTATTTAATTTATCGTATGTGTTCTTCAAGGTTGTTAATTGGTTGCCACTTATTTGTGATGTTTTCTCTTTCTTATTTTGTAGTTTTCTGGTTTCTTCTGTTGGATGTTTCACTTTCCAAAAATAACATTAATTTCCTGTTGCAATTTTTTTGCAGTGCCCAGATACAAACTATTTGTTTATGGGAGATTATGTGGACCGTGGCTATTATTCAGTTAAAACAATGACTAAGTATTGAGTATTTTTATTTCTACTTCTTATCTTTCAATTAGTTCAGCTATAATTTTAGGGTTCTCCTTCTGGCACTAAGATAAAGGTATTTTGGAAACTCTGTGCAATGATTTGGTTTGATTATTTAGGGTTTTGATAATGGCAAGCCCAAAAGACCTAACTATCTGCCTCTGGAGGTATGCCAGTTCCTTTTGATTATCATATCATTCTTTCTCAGACTCTTAGTCTTATCTTTTTGGAACTCCTCTGTCTGATATCTAGATTTGTGCTTCCCCATGGGGTTTCTCTTGGTGTTTTAGCTTTGTTCATTAGTTTCGCTTCAACGGTATACAAAAGCATAATCTTCAAAGCAGAGGGCATCCTTAGTTGAAAAATCAAGGCAGAAGGCTCAGGAAAGAATAAGAACTGTGACTGATATAGCTATGCAGGTCATGAAAGGTTTAATTTCTTTACCACATGTTGCAATAATTCTTCTTGCTCATTTGATTTACTATTGCAGGCTATGAATACCAGTATGATAATGATCCTGTGCTTGCTACATGTGGAATTTCTATAAATAAGGACTTGACTCAGGTCAAGGGCCGTGTTCTTGAGACTCCGAAGGTAAACTGTCACTTTATATATGGGCTCTGTGGGGTGGGGGGGATTTGCGACTTGGATATTTCAAATGAGCTCAATAGGTTGTATCAAGTGCACAAATGAGCTCAATATGGTTCATCGGTTATAGAGAATTAGAATTTGCAACTTGGATATTTCAAATGACTAACAAACAGTAATCAATTTAACTTTTCTTCCCTGTCAGTTTTAGTGCCTTTTCTTTTCTTATTACTTTTAGGAGTTAATTTTTGAGATATTTTATGACTAACAAACTTGAATTTTTTGCTATTTAGTAGTGAATTTGTAGCACAGTGGAAATATGTGGAATGAGGGCGATGTCTTCTACTTGCTCATCCAAAGGTTCCAATTTTTTGCATTCTTTTGGGGTTTTTTTTTCTTAATTTTATTTATGAAATTAGATGACTAATTTTTAAATAATGAGAAATTAGTTCTTCGCTGTGAAATATTCATTTTTCGGTGTTTCTATTAAAACAATGAAATCTTAATCTTCTATCAAATGGGTTGTAATTTCATATGTTTTAATGTAAACAGTTCACTGATTATGGTTGTAGTGGGTTGGTCTGAATTGCAGGATTATTAAGGTCTGGAAAAACTGATTATGGTTGTAGTAGGTTGGTCTGAATTGCAGGATTATTAAGGTCTGGAAAAGTTGCAGCCTGAGATGGACCAACTATCTGAGGCCAAACTTGAAGAGAGGTCTTTTATCATAATATGAGGAGAAGATATGCGGGATGAAGAGGTGAGCGAGAGAAACGGTGAGGTTTTATTTTCTGATTTGGATTTTGAAATTGAGTAATTTTCTGCTTTGTGTCTTTTGAGTAGGTGTGAGATTTAGTTTCATGCCAGGGGTTGTAATGGGTGGATTGGATGTAAAATTTTCTTTTCGAATTTCAATCCCCCCTAAATCTCTTCATTCCAACCAAACATTTGAGGATTTGGTTTTAATTGTTTGTTTGGACTTTTGAGCTTTTGACCAATTATTTGGATGCTAGGAAAATTTACATGCTACTTGGATACTAGGAATATTCATGGAACTCAAACAAGATTGTTTCATAATTTTTTGAGAAATGTGGAATTTCGTTTCAGATGGTATTGACTATTTTTCAAAATCCTATAATCTGATCGGAGTTCTGAATTTCCATTAAGATCAATATTAGTTGTTTTTGGTTCAAGAAATTCCAACATTCTTTGTTGGTCCTTGAAATTTTCATTAGCATGGAGTATAGTGGTTTTTGGGGCAGGTTTGCATGGAAGATGAGAAGACAATCTCTGTGTCCCTCGAAACAAGTATTTTGGGAAGCTCGATGATTTGTCTATGTTTCGCAAACAGGGTTGTTCATTTTCTAAATGTTAATATTTAGTGTATTTACACTCAGGTGTTAAGCCATACATATATAGATGTATGCATGTTCTTTGTTTTCCCCATAATTTTCATATAATTTATGAAGAACGTATACGAACGACAATGATCGAGTGGATTATGCAACTCTCACCATATAAACTGTAAATTCTACATGATTGTTCTCCTTCCCCCTCTCAAAACACAGTTTGGGTGGATTAACTAAGATATGTGTAGTTAATCTTTTTGTTTGTCTACAAGTCATGGTTTAGAACTTTTGATGCTTGGTGACTAACAATGTAACACATAATTAATGGGGCAGGCAGTGACATATTTGGGCAGGGCTTGGAGAGGCAAACCCCATATGGTGTATGCCTACACCAACATGACCAAGGTGGTTAACCCTGCCGGCTGGAGCGACGATAACCACCCTGAATGTAACAAGTTAGCAGATTATGTCATTTAAAACATTGTTACTGTAGCCAATTCCTATTAGGATTTTCCTTTCTAATTTGTTGGTGGACTTCTTATCCACTTCTGTGTTTTTCTCTATTCTTTAATAAAATTGTTTCTTCTCAAAAAAAAAAAACATGATTAAGCATTTTCATATAATTAGTTTTGATAGTTAATAATATAATTTGAAATTGCAGCAATGTGGCCTGCGAAGAGTACAAGTGCATAGGTCCAGGTTCAAGTACATATAATGAGAGAAATTTGAGCAAAGAACTGACTGACAAACAAGTCAAGCCTTTCATTAGCCTTGGATATATTCAGGGTATGGTTGCTTCCTCCTCCAAATCCAAAAGTGTAGTTATATATATATATATATATATATATATATATATTACATATGTACACTACTAATTTTGTTAGTACTAGGGAAATAGTTGATTTTTCTACGTGCACATATACATATATAGGTTCGATTAAAAAATTCTGTCAATTGAAAATGATACTTTATGTTATCATTTACTTGGTACGTGAAGATGTTTCATTTTGAAAATAAAAGATGGACTATACTTGGAACAAAATTCTGGAGACTGTTGAGGTGTGCCTTTGGATGCTAACTTGGTTCTTAGAGACTGTTTTGCGTTGCTTCTTTCCTTACTACATTATATGATATGGACATAATTTTTTATTTATCATTTTGGAGGTTTTCTGGACCCTTGATTTTTTAACGTGCATTTGAGCTTTTCTGTTAAATAGCGTAGAATTGAGTACATGCTGATGGTCTCAATGAAAGAACGTCATCATATATGGTAGAAATTGGTTTGAATTTCTGATGTCGTGTGAGCGGGTTTAAAATTTTTCAAACCACTATATTATCTTTTTAGTAAGCAATGAACATTCACAGAAGATGCAGTTTGGTTTCCTGTTGAAAATTTTAGTACTGATACATAAAATTTGCTAAATATCGTAACTCATTTTGGTTGTGAGTTTGTTCTGTAATTTTTTTTCCTTTGCTATTAATAGCTTACCGCATGTGGTAGCAGGGTGATTGTGTTGGTAGCTTATGTATACAAGCAAATTCAGAAGACACAATGAGTTTGATATTCAAAAAAATGTCTGTTGGTTCAGTTTTTGAATTTTTAAAAATTGTCGAATCAATTTGAATATGTAATTTTATGTGTATTGTTAGGTAAATTGTTGTTTTTTTTTCTGATAAAAAGTATAGAGTTTGGCCGTGTAAATGTGTATAGTTTTATACGTTTCATTTAGTTGACAATTTGATAATGGTTGAAGTGCATTCTTTAATGAAATGTGTTTTCTTTCCTCGATCGTGAATGTCTTTATGGTATTTTGCAGATCGAAACAAAGTGAAAGCTTTTGACTGTGAATTTTACAACTGCTGCCTTGCTGCTTTGGTAAAGTCTCAACTTCTTGATAATATCATTTAATTTGGCCTGTAATGTTAGGCTATTGAGTTGAATGCATATGCTACATGGCATAGGTCTAACATGATTAGAACTTTAATATCATGATGTGTGATGCTAATTAAGCACAATATGAGTATCTGTACCAAGAAAGACATGAGCATCTATCTGTTCCTATTGAGTCAAGTAAGGCATTGTATGCATAAGCACAAGTCATGACTAATTAATGTCCTATTGTTGGTGCAAGATACCATTTTTTAGACCTTATATCATTTGGACCTTTAGTTATATAACAAGTTGGTGCACTGAGTTGAATAAATGATTGATAGGTTTGGTTTCATATTTATTGGAAAAGGAAAAATGGAGACATGGGAACACAATTATATATAGCATTGCTTATTTTTCTTGCAAGTAAAAGATGTGCCGATGGTGTTGAGGAGAATACCTAATTTAGTTTGACTGTTCTCATTTCTTTGAGTTTTGTAATTGCATTTTTAAAGCCAACATAGTTTTCTAAATTCGTTAGAATTTATGGTATTTTTTTAACAAGTTTTAAAAGATCCTGGTCATTCCGGTTAATTAAAGTTTTAAGATATCTGCAATCATTTAACACATCAAAATTAAGCATTTTCATAATTAAAGTTTTAAATTATCATCATTCTGTTCAAATGCACCATTTCCTTTTTGTTTCCCTTCTCTCATCTTGCAAGCACTCATGGTGTCCATTTCCTTTTAATTTTGGTTAATGCAAGTTTTGAAATTTGTGATGATCATTTTCATATTTCTATAAATTTTGAGAGAAAAAAGCATGTGAAAAAGCACATTAGTCTCTAGGTATAAAACACATTAGTCTAATTATGGCTAGGATAAAAAACCATGTGATAAACTGTGGCTTGGTTACACTGCAATTTCAATTTGGGATTTGAATTTATTTACAAAATTACGATCCTTTTTAAAATTTAGAAAAGAGCATGATAAAAGACCAATTTTCTTTACAGGAACTTGAATAAAAAGGAGGCCATGAGTGAAAACGAACCAGCAAAGATTATGGTGATTCACTAATTTAAACATAAACCAGCTTTGAGAGTTATGCTCACCCATTGTCGGTTTTCCTTGCGAGCATATTTCCTACCCAAAGTTTCCCAAACTGTGTTCTCAAACTGCTGCATCGGCATATCTTTCCAACTTCTAATGGTCTTTGGTGCTAGAACATCTTCTAACTTCATTCTAGAAAAATTGATTCATAAGTAAAGACACCTAAAAGCAAGTAAACAGTTTAATCAAGAGGCAATTCAGAAGTAGAACCAAATAAGCCACTCCAACTTTCGCATACCCTCCGGCGTGATTTAATATCAGAAACTGTCTCCTGAATTCAAGTTTGCCTAGAGCTTCTAATTGTGCGCTCCCATCGTGTCTTTCTTGGTCTACAACCAAGGACTGATTAGTGAGTGCTTCAAAAAAAGATAGTTATCACAAACAAACAGTTGATCAAGATGATGTTTTTTGTGATTTGGGTTTATAGTGCTTCTAAATGCTGTTTTAATTGAGTTTTCTGTGTTTGCTCGATTCGTTGTTGTGGATGCCTGATACGTTTTTTTTCTTTCTTTTAGTTAGGAAATGGTGCCTTTCAGAGTTTGTAATTTTTTGTTGGGGTTTTTTCAAGCTGCTGTGTTAAAAAAGGTATATTATGTGTTTTATTTTTTTTCCCTTCCTTTTGTTTGCTGTTTGAGACTTTTTTTTTTTGGCTTTATTCTTGCTGGTTTGGGATGGTTTTTGCATTGTATTTTTTATATGAGTTTGTTGTCCCTACTCATGACTCTGCTCTGCAACCTACACACTGTATATCTGTATCTGAATTTGATTTGTTTATATAGTATATTTTCTTTGTGAGGAGATTTCTGTTTGCTGAATAAATGCTCAAGAAATTGGATCTTCAGGCTTAATTTAATTTTGGTTGGTTTTCATCATAATTCTTTTTGCTGCACTTGGTTTCTTAGCAACTTGGTGGAGGAATGATGTTAGAAAAAATTGCTTGGTGGAAAAGAACCACATAAGATGAAGGTTGAAGAAAGGGTGGCATTTTCACATATAAGTCATTGACAATGTTACACTTCAAAGAAAAATAATTCAAACTAAATACTTCAGGAAAAACCCCAGTTGACTTTGTAATGAGAGAAGGGCACCAAAATTAATTTGAGCATAGCAAGTGGACAGACGAGGCTCTTGAAGTATTTTTGTATAAAAATTATAGTTGTCGGGGTTTTTGCTAATTTACTGGAAAGAGGGAGTCATTAGGTGAGTGAGCTTATGGTTTATAGAGAAGAATGAAGCTTGCCTTCTTTCTTGCTTTGATAGTTTGTATGATTGTTATATGTAGGAAGGAACTAATGGAAGGAAGATTCATATTTGAGTTTGTATGTGGAGACATACATTAAAAGTGGTATGGTAATTGGATTGGGGTCTGGCCAAGCTTTTGGTATGGCCATACAGTATATAGGTCTGCAACTTGGTGCTGGTGCTTTGAAAGATAGTTGGGATACGTACATTAAAAATAGTGTCTTTATTCTGTTAACGGTCCGTTTGGTTGAACACTATTATGCGATATGCTCTCTCTGTTTGTAAAGCAAAATAAACAGGTTGGAGTATCTTCTAATGAGCTGCTCCAATCTTTAAATGGGCTCCTGCAATCTTTTTAATTACTCTGTTATTTCCTTTAGTTATATGTATCTGACTTTCTGTTTAATTTCTATATATGTCGTTCCAATGGAATCAAGTGCCAAAATTAGAATAAACATCCTTTGGTCAAGTTGGACATTTTTCCATATAATATTTGGTTCAGGGATCCCTTATACAAACATTATCTTCTTATGTATTTCAATCAAACTTGACCCTCATGGTTTAATAAGTGTGAAAACTGTCTTAACTATACAATTGGAGTGTTATAGTTTTAGTTAGTTTGTTGAATCCGTTTGTTAGCGGTTTGAATTCTTACTCTGAATCTCACTCATTTTTTGTAGTTTAGATTGGACTCTCATTACAGCATTGTAATCTGCTCTTGCTGCTGCGTTTTGAATAAACACTTTGGTATGTCACTTGAACTTAAATGCATTCTTTTCCCATTCTTTCTGTTTGAGGCACCACAACTTTATGATTTTATGATTGATTGTTTGGTTTGATCGCCTTATGTAATTCGTTTAGCGTCCATAATGGCTGCCTTTGTTACATTTATGATTTATGTTTTTTGCTATAGTGTTGAAGATGTCCAGTCCCAGAAAAAGTGAACCCCATGGTCTCCGTGATCGAATGCTGCACACCATGCTGCATATTTTTGTTTGAACATCTATGGTTGACGACTTGCCTGCTCAAACACCACTTTTTCTGTGTTTTGCTAACTGCTAAGTGAGGTATGTAGGTTGCAGAGCATATATTTTGCCGTCTTAATCGTAGGAGCAAAATATGTGTAAACTCCAGCTTGCTTCTGTTTCTTCAGTTCATATGGAACAAACCTGTTTTTTTTGCCTTTGAACAGTTGTGGTTCCAAAATTAGCTACTTGAACAAGTCTTCAACACTTTCTGTTTTAAATTACCTGTTGAACTAGCTGCCTACACTGCAGGACACATATTATATGTGTGAACTAAATGTTATTTTTTGAAAACCATCTCATCCTAATCAAACACGTACAATTTCTTCCCACTCATTGTGCAATGTGTTTATATGCCAACTCACTTAAATGTGTATAAAAGCAAAACCGCTTCTTACTGGCCTCATTCACTCATGTATCCCTTTGTTTGTTTGTAATTGTGTTGAATTTATTCAGTTTAAGTGTATAAAAGCAAAACCGCTTCTTATCGACCTCATTCACTCATGTGTCTTTCTGTTCATTCATGATTGTGTTGAATTTATTCAGGTTAAATGTGTCTTATTCATGCAGTTACGCTTGAAACAGTGGGTCTCGCTGCAACGCGCGAGGCTTATTTTCTAGTTTTCTCTAAAACACAGATGCAGATAAGAATAAAGAAAAAATTTCTGTTAAAGACTCTCCGATGACTCATCTCACAAAAGTAGAGGCTGCTCAGGACTCTCAGACTCAACTCCAGCTCGAGGAGAAGAATACTCTTCCAGCTATTCTCGAGGACAATAATCCCACATGCCTAGCCCGTCCTAAACTCATAATCAAGCTAGGCACATTTTCCTCTATGCCGACTACTTGTCGAATTTGCTCTGAGTATGGACACTTTCCTGGTATGTGCCCCTGGAGGAAACGGCTCCCAAAAGGCGTCACCCAGGTTGGCAAGGGCTATGTAGTAGAGTGGGGGCGTGCTGTTCGCCTTAAGTGTGTATATTGTTATGAGATTGGTACCCACATGCTTAATGACTGCCCGCATTTTAAAAAACTACTTGACGAAAATGGAGGGGATGCGCCGTTGCACCCCTGTTTGCTCGATGATATACCACTTGCTGATTGCTGAAGTTGAGGGCTGGGTGCATGTATGCAGCAGCTGTTGAATTATCGTTTCATTTTAGTGCTTAAACCGAACCATACCAATCTTAATTGTTTTGGCAAGTGGTTTTCAAAATTCTTAGGATGTTGTTAACTGAACTGATCCGAATATATTTATTTTATTTTTTAGTCATAATTAATATGTGTAGTAATATAAATAATTAGATATTTAAGAGTTACTGTGTATTCACCGCATGAAAATAAAACTTGGTTAGTTTAAGAGTCCATTTTCCTTACATTCAAAAAGCAAACATAGAAAAGGAAAGGCAACCTTTATGTGCCTAAAAAGCATAGAGGAATGAAATTATGAAAGGCATTAGCATCTCCCATTTGGATCCCATTTTGAGAGATAGAAGCAGACACAATGTGTGAGAAAGATAGGGGCCACCATTTGGAGAAGTTAGAGCCTGCTCTTTAGTGCTCTTCTTGGACTGCATCATTTATATTTGTCTTTGAACAATCACAAATATTGGAGCTCCGTTGTAATTTTTGAGAAATAAATTTGTTATGTATTTTGGTCTTCACACAAATCGGAACTCTGAAGTTAAGCAAGTAGCGCGTGAGAGCAATCCCATGATGGCTGACCCACTGGGAAGTTCTCGTGTGAGTTCTCAGAAACAAAACTGTGAGGGCGTGGTCGAGGCCCAAAGCGGACAATATCGTGCTAGGACGGAGTCGAGCTCGGGAAGTGGTGGAGCCCGGGTTGGGATGTGATAGTTTGGTATCAGAGCCACTCTCTGATCGGAAGTGTGCCGACGAGGATGTCAGGCCTCTAAGGGGGTGGATTGTTAGATCCCATATCGCCTAGAGGTGAGGATCCTATAAGCCTTATATGTACATATCCCTTCCCTATAGCAATGAGGCCTTTTGGAAGCTCATTGGCTTTGGGTTCCGTCGGAACTCTAAAGTTAAGTAAGTAGCGTGCGAGAGCAATCCCATGATGGGTGATCCACTTGGAAGTTCTCGTGTGAGTTCCCAGAAACAAAACCGTGAGGGCGTGGTTGGGGCCCAAAGCGGACAATATCGTGCTACAACGGAGTCAAGCCCGGGAAGTGGTGGAGCTAGGTTGGGATGTGACATGATCGGTTTCGATTTGAAATTTTGACCCAAACATAAACCAACCCCCGCTCCCCCTAGGTTTTCTTTTAGTATTCATCTTCACTTAGAAGTGAAATGTCTTATATTCGAATATTGTGGATGACGAATTCGATACCAAATTAGACTACTCATTGTGTAGTTTAGTCAAACTCTCTCTCTTCTAAATGTAAAATATTGATGTACTAAAAAAATAAAATAAAAAACACGCGACACCCATTTTGTGCGCTTGAGAATTTTCTGAATTGACAAACGTTCAATGATTAATTTTACACGCAAAATAAATAGAAACTAAGGAAAAGAAAAGGGTAAAGTACAAAAAACTACCTCAACTATTGGTGTCATGACACTTTCATACCTCATCTTTTAAAATTGACAATGTCATACCTCATCTTACGAATTTGTGCCAATGTTATACCTTCCGTTAGGGTTGGCGTGAATTTCTCAGTTAAATGCTGATGTGGCTTGATCTGGGGCCCATTTTCTATTAAAAAAAAAACAACACTTAGTCAGTTCGTCCCCTCCCCCCTTCTCTCTCTTCTCCCCATCATCATCTTCTTCCCCCTTCTTGCAACTGCAACCCAGAAAAAAGAAGAGAAAAAAAAAAACCAATTTGTCTTCCCCCCTCCCCACCCCCCCTCTTCTCCCCGCACCCACTCTCCGCACCCAACCTCCCCACCTTCGCACCCAACCTCGCACCTACTACCTGCAACCCAAAAAAAAAAACAAACCCAGACCCCGTTGAGGTGGAATTGGGAAACCTTCACCGAGCCAATTCACGCCAATCCTAACGGAATATATAACATTGGCACAAATTCGTAAGATGAGGTATGACATTGTCAATTTTAAAAGATGAGGTATAAAAGTGTCGTGAGTTGTGACACCAATAGTTGATGTAGTTTTTTGTATTTTACTTAAAAAAAAAATACAATCTGTTAAATTAGAAGGGTATTATAGTCAAACCGTGAAAGTTTAAATATTTCCCCCAAAACTATTCACAAAAATAAGCATTGTCGCCAAAATCCCTATGTTGGACAAAAAAAAAACCTCTCTGTGTGACAAACTCAAAACCATGAAACGCCGATTCGAAGGCGGACTAGGAGAATCTGCGGAGGGGGAGAATCCAATTCCGGCCCAACCCACAAAGCTCCGAGGTGAGATTCGGACTTCTAGTATTGGTATTCTTTTCAATTTTAGGTTTTAGGGTTTGTGAATTGTGAGGGGACGATTATCTGTTTCAATTTTTGTTTTTAGGGGAGGATTGGCAGCAGCATTATGTTTACTTAGGGTTTCATGCATTTCAATTCCGGCTGCATATGTTTGTTGCAATCTGCACGTGTTTGTAAGGTTCCGGTGCTTGACTTGACGCCTAATTTTTTTCAGTGTCTATTTAGTAATAGCTAGAGATTTAATTTACAATGAATTTTCCCAGTTACTGAGTAGAATTTTGAACCACATTGTGTAGCTAAGCTAGATACTCATTTCTCAATCAATTAAGTATCGCACTGTCTTCTTGAGGACTGCTTTGGCTGCTTCAAATGTCAGAAACACGAAATTCTTTTAACTCCTGTCAACAAAATTAAAGCAGAACTTGTAGAACTAGGGAAGAGAATACTTACACAGTTTTATGGCGTGTTTACCAAACCGGAATGGAGGTAGAAGAAAGGGAATTGAATTCCTATCCAAGTGATTCCGGCGTTTACCAAATTTTGGGAATGAAAAAATTAGTGGGCTCCACCCAAAATCAATAATCGGATTCCTGATATTCCCGGAATCCAAATACTGACTTGAAGGTGGTAATTGAATTTCGGAAGAAAGCCAGCATATGGAATCAAACTTCTCTACCAAAATTGCCCTCCCCTCCCATCTGCCTCCCACGATTCAACCACCCAAAGCACACACCCATCCCACCCTTAACCAATGCAGACCACCGCACCACCTCCCAGACTACCAAGACCTATCACCCACTGGCGAAGCTACAGAGGAACAAGGAGGGGCGGTCGTCTGAAATTGCCACTAAAAGTCCGGATTCCGCCCCTCAGATCTTTCGAATTGCAAGAAACTGAGTATGCTGTTGCGTTTATGGAAGGTTTGCTGCTTAGACGGAGAGAATGAGAAATAGCTAGAGAGACTGAGAGAGATAGCTAGAGAGAGAGCTAGAGAGAACGGACGGAGAGAACGAAGCGAAAGGGGACTGAAAAAAATATAAAAAAAAATGATGATGTACTCCGATGGTGTGCCAACCAATATATTCCAATATTTTCCAACGGGAATGGTTAATATTTTAATAAAACTATACATATATACATATATATGTGTGTGTGTGCGCGCGCGCGCGCTCGTGTGAGTGAATTTGTATTAAAAACTTACGATTTTTTCTATTATTTAGATTAAGGGTATTTTAGTAATCATATTAATTTTTATTTCGATTCATATGAACTAGTAAACAACTTAGATGAATTTTGTTTCATTTTTACTCCGATTCCAGAACATTTAAGTAAACAGCTTTAACAGGAATCCGATTCTGACTCCTCCTCAATCCAATTCCTCTTCAATTCAATTCCTCCTTAATCCAATTCCTCTATTTTGATTACGGTTACGTAAACGCGCCATTAAAGCAGAACTTATAGAGCTTTTAGAACTTTAAGAACTATTGGGAGGAAAGTCTGAGACATACCTATAGGTATTACCCACCCACATAGGGATTGCAATTCGTTTAGTTTCATCTTCCCTCGCGAACTTCTCGTTTCTTTTATGGTGTTGTGTTTGAGAATAGTATGAATGGGGAGAGTAGGTTTTTCAGTTCTCCATTGAAAATGTGTTTCATATTTTAGAGAGTGGGAATTGTAAATTAACTTATTAAAAATGCTATTAATTGTGAAGGGTCAAATTTTTTTTACTTTCATGTATTAGGTATCTTACCAGGCTAGCCGACATTCACCTCTCCCAGACCCTACGTAAAGCGGGAGCCTTGTGCACTGGGTACGACCTTTACCAGTTATTAGGTATTGGTATGGTGTTTGTTCTCTTTCTAATATTAAAGTGGTCTCAAGTTACGAATGTCCTCACTCTCATAATTTGTTGAAACATATTTAGTTAATTTGTTTTTTTGTTATGCCCCACATGAGCTAAATCTTTGGTCGGCCCCTAATTAATGTATCTGTACATTTTCTAAAACACAGATGCAGATAAGAATAAAGAAAAAATTTCTGTTAAAGATTCTCCGACGACTCATCTCACAAAAGTAGAGGCTGCTCAGGACTCTCAGACTCAACTCCAGCTCGAGGAGAAGAATACTCTTCCAGCTATTCTCGAGGACAATAATCCCACATGCCTAGCCCGTCCTAAACTCATAATCAAGCCAGGCACATTTTCCTCTATGCCGTCTACTTGTCGAATTTGCTCTGAGTATGGACACTTTCCTGGTATGTTCCCCTGGAGGAAACGGCTCCCAAAAGGCGTAACTCAGGTTGGCAAGGGCTATGTAGTAAAGTGGGGGCGTGCTGTTCGCCTTGAGTGTGTTTATTGTTATGAGATTGGTACCCACATGCTTAATGACTGCCCGCATTTTAAAAAACTACTTGACGAAAATGGAGGGGATGCGCCGTTGCACCCCTGTTTGCTCGATGATACACCACTTGGTGATTGCTGAAGCTGAGGGCTGGGTGCATGTATGCAGCAGCTGTTGAATTATCGTTTCATTTTAGCGCTTTATGTTATATATGTTGGTGTGGACCCACGTATGTCTTGGAATAATTAAGCTAGATAGCTATGTTGTCGTTGTGGATATATAATGCTTTGTTGTTGGGTGCCTTCTTTGTTTCATTTGGCTGTCCTTTGCAAGTACTCGTCTTGGAATGTCATATATGTGCAGTGCCTATTGATTTGGATCGATGTTTTGCTTTGATTTGATTTGCTTGAACAGGTGGTGTTTTTGCTTTGAGGGTATGCGTGTGTTTTTAATCGACAGTTGTAGTGAATTATTCAGACACCTTGCCCTCGAGCAGGCAAGCTTCTGCATTTTTGAGTTATTGTTGGTCTTTTGAGTTTTGTAGATATTTCGCATAAGTAATGGTTGTTGTGGTGCATATGGTCCTTCTCTGTTAGTTTCGTGTCGCTGCTGCATTCACGGTTCCCTTGAACAATACGTTGCAAATTTCCCCAAATGGCAAAAGCCTTCATAATTGTATTGAAGGGGGAAAGTATCTTCTGTCTTTTCAAAATATATTTTCAATATACAACAAACATACAATCTTCTTCTTTTTTTTCCTAAATTGAAAAAGGAAATATTATGAGACATTTATTTATTACTGATCGTACAAGAAAACAACTAACAAGTAGTACTAGTTCTTGAGTTGAAAAAGATTGAGTAGTCGATTAAACGTAAATTTTTTGTCTTTATTATATTTAGTTTATGCAAAAGAAAATTATCATAAAGATTATGAAAATAGATTGCGTTTTCAAGTGAGCCGCTTTTACTAATGGTTTAGAAACATGCACAAAAAAAATAATTTATTGTTGTCATCAAATAAAGGTCGCATTTAGCTGATTAAAAAGATATTCAATAATTATCTAATTAAATCAGCTCTCACATAAAATTTATAATGTTTGCGATCCCAAAATATTGTCGTATGGAAAATATGTGCATTTTTCTTTATTGTTGCTCTTCGTTCATTATTTTTCATTAAGAGCAGGGCAAATCAAATTTTCAGACAAGGACAATGTTTTTGTACTACAATGCGTCTGAAAGGAGTGGACCAACAGTGACTTGCCATGTTACAAAAGGTCAAACATGCAAACAAATTCAACTAGAAAAGTTCAATGTAATAGTCCACATCATTCAGTAGCGAATGTTTCCTCTTGCAAAACCTGTCCATCAGGGTATAGCTCTGGAGAGCTGAGGGAGGCAGCAACACAAATGAAACCAGCATATTTTCATTCTTTTTCTGCCTCGAAACAAGCATTTCATCAACCTTTGAAATTTTCCCAAACATTTTTTCGCACCATTACACAGATCTTTAGCATTTCGCTTGGAACGGTCACATTTCTTTTTTCCAATATATGGAACAATGCTACTCTTACTCATCCTCGAGTTTGAGTACTGATCAATGAGTGTAGCTTTCCTTGATCAACAAGTCTAGCTTTCGACTTTATCAGGTTTCTAGAACTAACAAAAGTTTTGTGATTTGGCAGGCTGGCCACCCGTGCAGAACAAGTAACTATTTATTACTTGTGTAGAACGTAATTGAGCACGAAGTATAAGTGTTAGTAATAAGAACTTGATGATTGAAAGAGTGAGATCGAGAATACAAGGGGGCCTGAACGGCTGAACCCAAGTGTTCTGGCTTACTTAGCTTATCCCCTCTCTTGGTTATACAAATTGTTAACTTTAACTATGTAGTTGATACAACTTATACGCTATCAAGACCATAGGTTAATATTTGTGCGGCCACATAAAACAAATCTATCCCGTTGAAGACTAAAATGCATTATTGGATAGTTGCAAATCTATCCCATTTAAATATGTTATTTATTTCTTCTTTTTTGTCTCATATTGGAGCTCAGTTATTTGGAAATGAAAAAGAAAATTGCTACCTTGAGGCCTTTAGTTGAGTTGATGGAGGTACTTAGCAAAGATGCCGATCCTAATGGAGTCGCTTTTGGGTGATTAATAATAATGGTGAAACAAAAGCATGGTTGACGAATCTCTGTTGCCAACCATTTTCAGCATTGTTGGTTCAGATTCAGTGACGAATCTCTGTTGACGAATCTTTGTTGCAAAATTTCCCCAAATAGCAAAAGCCTTCGTAATTGTATTGAAGGTGAAAAATATCTTCTCATTTTATTTTCAAAATATAGTTTAAATATACAATAAAGATACAATCTTTAAAAAAAAACGAAAAGGATATGAGGCATTTATTTGTGCTGGCAATAAGTAAGTATTACTAGTTAATGAGTAGAAAGAGATTGACGAATTAAACGTAAAATTCTCGTCTTTATCATATTTAGTTTATGCAAAAGAAAATTATCCTAAAGAATATGAAAAAAGACTGCGTTTTTGGGTGAGTCGCTTATTTTGGTTTGTTGAAACACACCACTCGTTTCGTGAACAAATTGGACAAAAAAAGGCAACCAAATGTTTAATTACCACACATGTGTCCTTAAATTAGAAAGTAAAATTCATATTGATTAGTGTTTCCTATGTGTTCTAATAGTTTTTCACGAAGCATTTACTTGAAGACATGCCCTAATAAAGGTCGTATTCAACTGGTTAAGAAGATATTCAGTAGCTATTTAATTAAACTAGCTCTCACATAAAATAGTAAAATATTGATATCAGTAAAAATATTGATATACAAATTTATAGAAATACAGACAGATATCGATACCGATATCGGTTGATTTTAATGGAAATGATGAAAATTTAAAATGAAGCTTTAGGAATTGTCAAACATTAATTTTAATGAAATATAAGAATTTCTCCGATATTTAATAAACATACATTTTGTTTTGTGGTTGCTCTTCGTTCATTATTTTTCATTACGAGTACAGCAAAACAAAATTTTAGACAAGGACAACCTTTTTGTACTACAATGTGTCCAAAAGGAGTGGACCAATGGAGACTTGCCATGTTACATACGGTCACACATGCAAACAAATTCAAATAGAAAAGTTCAATGTGCTAGTCCACGTGGTGATCAAGGGTGAAAAAGATACATTATTTGTGTTCCCACATCTGTCCGCAGCGAATGTTTCCTCTTGCAAAGCTTGTCTATTGGCATATAGCTCTGGAGAGCAGAGATTGGCAGCAACGCAAATGAAACAACAACATAAATGAAACCATCATTTTTTCATACCTTTTCTGTCTCCAAACAAGTATTTCATCAAATCATTTGAAATTTTTCCGGAAAATTTTTCACACGAACAGCTCAAAAACTTCATTTGGGATTGTGATTTGTCTGCATTGTAAGTTTTGTTCTGTTTCTTTTTTGGAATATGTTTTCATTTTTTTTATGGTTGTACCTTCTCGCTATGTTTACACAATGCATCCTCTTTCTTCTTCTTCTTCCATAGCAAACGGCACATGATTGGTATTAGCCACATAACCCACCAACCTCAGCCGCTGGGAGATTTCTCCCAGCATTGTCTCAACTTCATCGTGCCAAGATGGGACTTGTCTCCCACAAGGAACTCATGAACTTCTCCATCGACCTCTAGAACGCTACAACAGGGAAGCTTCCTCACACCTTTTGCCTTCAAGAGTGGCTTGTTCAATGGCGGATTTTTCCGGGTCACAAATGAGCTTGAAAAGTGAGGACCACAACTTTGAAGGATACAAATCTAAGAAGAGCGGACCGGGTACCATAGTTTCGGCTATGCTTTTAGACCTTGGCTTTACATTGGGTTCGGATGCAAGGCGTTGATCTTGATGACGATAGAAGTAATATTCTCTCTCTCTTTGTCTATTATTTTGAATTAATTAATCCACTATTATTTTTTTATTTGTCAGTTTACTTATATGTGCATTTTGTACAATTTTTTTTTTAGTTACACCTGATCAACTCAAAATTCAAACTATTCGCAAAAACCCACCGATTCTTGGTTTGTTGTGCGGTGATTTTGAAGCAGCGGAAAATTTAGTTGAGCTTTTAAAGTTTAAGGCAACAAATAATGAATCAATTGAAGAGCTTGTTCGGTGTGGAAAGTCCTTTGTAGAACAACACCATAGTAGGCATGCATTTACAACATATATGTGTTACATAGAAGAACAAGTTCCCAGCGGCTACATTTTTTATTTTGTCCCTTATTTCAACCATGTCAACAAATGCAAAGAGGATTATACTTGCAAATGTCCAATGGTTGGGATTAGACGCAGTGCTAGGGAGTTGGAGCATGGTTCTATTTACAATGACGCAAATGTCCAATGGTTGGGATTAGACGCAGTGCTAGGGAGTTGGAGCATGGTTCTATTTACAATGACGGATCTGGTACAAGTGATGCACAAGAACATTTATCTATGTCATTTTTTGATGGAAAAATGGTGCAACATGTTGATACAGCTGACGATTACTAGATTGCAAATATTAAGAAAAAAATTGAAGATTAGTTTGATACAAGCGATAAAGATCACCCGTTTAGCAATGCTTCATTCTTGTTTGAATGATAATAATTGCGGCGCGCCATTTAGAGGTAACTAACATATAATGAAATTGTATTTTTTTGTTTTATTGTAGATATAGTATATCTAAAATTGGTTGATTGCTATTTTATTTTAGTGTGCAGTGTCAGTGTAGACGGAGCAATCGAAAAAGAGGGACCATATGGGTTTATAAGAACTTACCTGGATTATTTTGAATTTTTGGAGGCTCACGACCGTAAGACATTATTTTTAATCTATCGTCAAACACTTGAGGGATCAAACTTTGGTGGATTTGTAGTCCAAAATATTCGGTGTGTTTATGTCTGGTATCTATTTAAGTTCTACTTACAAAAGGTTGTTTAGGTTTTTAATTTATTTTTGTTTAGGTTTTAATTTATTTTTAACTTTGACGTAGTTTCGGTTTGCAAGAAAAGGGACATCGTGTGACTTTGCTTGAAGGAGACTTCTGCCTACATCGCTTGATCCTTAAGCAAGCCAAAGATGTCAAGGGATTTTTTGACCATGGTAAAGCGGTCACTGAATGTCCACAGTTTAGTACCGATGAGTCACATTTGAGATATTATACACTTGACATGAGAGAGGTGAAGAAAAACAGGAGAAACGAGAATATTTTGGGACTGAAGACAGCCAAGTTCTCAGAGGAAGAAGTGGCAATGTTCCAAGACTTTGAAACAATTTACATGGGAAAACCAACAAAGGACTTCTTGAAATCTTTCAAGGAAGAAGTCACGTT